GTTTTTGGTTTGGGCGCCTGATCGGAACAGTCTAGTTCCTTCTCCTTTTCTTTTAACTCCTGTCGTCGCATGCATCGGTGTACAAAATATCTAGGATACCTATTCTGGGAAAACAGTTTGAACAAATAATTCAGTTCTATTTGATATGTTTCGTTGTCAGAGCAGTGGGTTCTTGCTCGGTTAAGGAGGCTGTTCACGGCACTCCGTTTGTGAGAGATCGGGTGATTGCTCTCGTAATGCAAAAGAACTTCCGCATAGGTTTCTTTGCGGTAAACCGTAGTGTGAAATATCCCGTCAGGCTTTCTCTGTACGAGGACATCAAGAAAAGGGAGTTTGTTATCAGCCTCTTTCTCGAGTGTGAATGTGATTCCTGGAAGTGTTGAGTTAATAATATTGTGGAGTATTTCCAGTTGATCACTTTTAGCAATGACAAACGTGTCATCAACATATCGTACCCATAATTTGGGATTAACTAGTGGTAAGGCGATGGCCTCTAATTTCTGCATCGTGACTTCTGCCAGAAAACCAGAGATGGGTGATCCCATAGGGGCTCCCTTCAGTTGTTGATAGTAGTCCTGCGCAAATGAAAAGTTCTTTTCTAGACAAAGGTCTAAGAGTTCAAGCAAAGCAGATGCAGGGATATCCATGTCGTAGTACTGGAGACGTTCCTCTGTACATTGTCTTGCTAAATCCAATGACATGAAGGTGAACAGAGAAACGACATCGAAGGATACCATTATTTCATCTGCTGTGATTCTCAGTCCTTGCAATTTGTCCAGGAACTTTGCTGAATAATTGATTGATGTTTCACAATCCTTTGTCAACGGATAGAGTTTGTGGAATAGCCATTTAGAAACCTTGTAATTAGGTGCACCGATTAGCGATACTATCGGTCGCAGTGGTACTTCAGCTTTGTGAATCTTGGGTAGTCCATAGACCTTAGCAGTGACTGGTTCAGTTTGTAGTAAGGATTTGGCAATATCTCCTGATATTTGCTTCTTTCCTGTAAGACGTTTTAGAACTTTTTCAATGGCCGTATTCTGCGCTTTAGTAGGGTCCGTGGTAAGAGGTTTGTATGTTGATCTATCCTTTAATAATGCTAACATCTTTTCGTTGTAGTCTGCTTTGTTTAAAATTGCAGTTGACCCACCTTTGTTCGCAGGAAGTATGACAATGCTTTTGTCACTTTTTAATGTTTTAAGTGCTTTCCTTTCCTCGTGTGATAGTACTGAAAATGAATTTCGGTTCTTTAAGGCATGTACTGTGCTATTCTGGATTGTGAAACGTTCATCGTCCGTAAGATTTTCTGCTGAAATTATAGACTTCAAGTTTGCGAGGAAGTCTAGGTCTTTCGCATCGGATGGGTTATATTTCATTCCCTTAGAAAGTACATTTTCTTCGGTTGTTGTAAGTTTTCTTGCTGACAGGTTCACTACCTTCGTCGAGCAAGTTTGAGTTGTTGAGTTTGTCTAAGATACTCCTCTTTTTCTGTATTTCGATGTTGGAAACAAAGGCAATCGTTTCGTTTAGAGATTCAACTACTTCTGAAGGGAGATTATCTCGGCAGAATTGCGCATGTTGTTCTTTAGAAGCTTGGAATTTCTGAAGTCTGAAGTGAGCACTCCATATAAAGGCTCCAAGCATATTTTGGCCGTAACGTAATGCAATTTGATATCCTTGAGTAGTTCTAATGGCAGGTTTTATTTGGACAGATTTTGGCAAAATCTTCTTGCTTCGGCATTTGTGAAAAAACGATAACTGTTCTCGCGTGAGACTTTCGCGAATTGCACACTTTTCCCACATTCTAGCTTCTAGCAAAACATTTATATATATTTCGAATAAAAATGAGTCCTCTGGAAAGTTTGGCAAACTTTATTTCATAAATTTTCGACACTAGTTCGCCCGATCGCCATCAGACGTGTAGAAAGTGTGAAAAACAGTTAAAATTTTAACAAGTCGAAAACTCAATATTTATTTGTCAGTGTTGAAGATGGGTCGATGCTGTGGGCTGACGTCACCTTTTGATTGGCTATAACCTTTTCCATTTTTTTGAGATATATGTACATGGTGTCCAGATCGATTCGCTGATTAATGCATGAATCATCAGAGGTTGATTACACTAACCCATTGTCAGACGAAATGAATAATGGGGAGACGGATAATCGCACCAGAGAGCAGGGGGAACATAGAGGCTACATCAACAAAACAGATATCCATGTGAGGGGAGTGGATAACGTGTTTAGGTAGGTGCCACAACGTAGGGAATGTGTTGAGGGCTTCAGTTGGGGTTCCCTCTGTCGTAATTTACCGCGTCCCATGCACCAGTTGTTCGTGTGTGTATTTTGACAGTACGAGTCGACGTCTGGGCACCCATATTAATGAACACAAACTAGCTATCCGTCGGTAAGATCCTCCGTCCCTCGTCTTCGTCCATGGACTCGAGAATGACCACCGATTCAATTGGGATGGCACTGAGGTCGTCGTCATGGCAAAAACAAAACAAGCGAGAGCATTCCTCGAGGTTTGGTACTCCCATGCGGTTGGTGCTAATCGTCATGTCGACCTGGACGACCATTGCGAGGGCATACGTTCACGACTGGTCGACTCCTGCCTTAGTCGCACATCAACGACCGCCAATACAGCCGACCAGAGTCCATCATCCACCCTCCCCTCCAGCAATAGGAGCCGTAATTGCCTCGCCTTCCTCCCTCTCCCCTCGTTTAGAAAACTACCATTTCTCTGTGACTACCCATCTCAAACGCCAATGGGCTGTCTGTCCTGTTGCGCCAACTGGTCTAGTATGAAGAGCTGACTTCCTCTCCTGCTTTCATTTCGTGTGACGAGGGGTTGGTGTTGCCAGCTGGAAAATTCACGAGTATAACTTGTTTTGTCCGAAGAACACCATCCCTTTTTAACATATATACATGCATGTGCTGAAGTTAAATATATTCTTTCGGAAAAGGAATTTTATTGTGTACGTCTTAGACGCCGGTTCCCCAGGTCGTCGTCAGACGCAGACGGAGAGCAAATGTACCTTGCACTAGTAAGCGGTCGCCATGTGTCTCCGTCTGTTCTGATTGGCTCCTGCCTCTTCCATTTCTCAGATAAGATACGATAACGAGATACATATCGACAGAAAATGTAGGTACCTGAGGTCGGGTACGGTCAGCTGACAACGGTTAATAAACGAGTAATTGCCACCTCCGCCGCCCTTGTCTTTGTTGGTGTCAACTTACCTTTTTATGCTGATAGTCGCCATGTGACTGCCTGCGGAGACTCTAGATTGAACCCCAAGACACAACGGGGCGAGCACGTCCTGTAAGCTAATCGATGAGCTCCCCTCTACTACAGTAAAAATAAGTTTGCTGAAACATTTTCTGCGCAGTCCAGGAGGATTAATCGTGGGCGAAATCAACTCGTAAATTCAAGGATTATTTTGAAAAACACACTATTTCTCTGCATGCACAATTTTTATCTGCACCTCTGCATCTGTAACAATGGCCCATGCTCAAAATTCTGTATTGCCACAAAATGTAGGCAAACTAAATTGAGGAATGTAACCCTGTATTCCGAATGCATACCGTTGTCTGATACACTTGTCAAGTGCTCGACGGCCCAAATCGCCACCTTTCAAAACGACTAACTTTTTCTACACAACTGCGGGGTTTCTCAACGAATCAAAATCTCTCGGTGATCTAGATCTCTCCGTCACAAGACGATCCCTAAGGTGGCAAATATTCGTCTTATGGTGCCATCAAAGCTTAATGCGGCCTCTATGGCATTCCTACTCAGTGGGGTCAGTGTCGGTGTGATGACACGAGCTAGGGTGCAGATTTTTGCCGTGCCAGCCCCCTGCGCCCTCTCCCGTATCCGGTCTTCTTGACTCTGTCATGATACCGGACTCAGGTGAGGGAGGAAAGAGTGTTGTAGAATCCGCGCAAGTCCCCGTCCCCCTCCCCACGGTGGGAATCATCGGAAGTGCTCGAACTGTCGGTACCACCCAAGAACTTCCGATAAGTTGTGCACTTTGGTAACGAAAAATAACACGTAGCTGACAACTGGCTAACGCGCCGTTTTTCCAAGTTAACATCCTTTTTTTCCCCGAGCACCATGAGTGTTGGTGCCATCCGATACTGTCAGTGGTGGGCGATATCAAAAACTAACCAATTTGAGTCGAACAATGAACACGAAAAGACTAGAATACGATGGACGACATGATGTGACTTCGCAACATGACAATGCTAGGTCCCGTGTCGCACGAGCGACGGAGATTTTGGAAGCACTCCGCCGGGGAGGGCCACACTCGCCTTAGTCACAAGACATCGCTCCATCAGACTACCATTTATATTGGCAGATGTATTATGGCCTTATTGAGCAATGCTTCAATTCTTACGAGGATCAATAGTTATTCCACGGCTGAATCACATTCTTACCCGAATGATGGAAAAAAGGTTATGGCATTGCATGGTTATGGTTATTGCATGAAATACAGTGCATAGTTACATTTAACTAAACGTCGTTTTCTTTCATAAAAATGGCACGAACTAATCCCCACTCTCAAAACTTTTAGAACATTTCAAGAACCTTTCTTGACCTCCGCAACGCTTTACGAGACGGTGACCTGTCCGTTTCCGATCCCTAAGTAGGTGCCAATTCTCAGCTACATCAACGCCTATCCGATAGCAAATACACAGCGGAGGCTTCTGGGTTAGTGAACAACATAGTACTCCAAGAGTTTTTTTCGAAAAAATTGAAATATCCAGAAACCTCACAGCAATAACTTTCACTAAAAAATGTGAAAAGAGATGTGATGTGAAAAGAGTTCCAAAATACTTTCAAATTACAATGTGGGAAAGAAGGCAGAATTCTGCAAAAAAAGTTATCAGGTAAGATGGTGCGTCATCGTTGTCAAAGGCATATGATCATAGGTTTGAAGTTATAGGGGATGCCTAATGTGCAAAACATAACTTGTCGGAATAAGCGCCTGAGCTTAAATGCGGCTATTGGCGTGAACGTTGGTTGTTTTCGAAGAACATGAAGTCCTGAAAAATGGAAAGTGAAATAAATTCATTAACTATGGAGATCTGAGCACTGAGTTGCCCTAGAAGTATATCTTCTGATTTCCCTTTAGGTGTAATACAAGCAGTTTTGTAATATTTACGGTAGACAATTATTAGCCGACCAATACAGACCTACGGAATACGTGATTACAAAAGATAACTAAGAGAGATTCCTGAGATGAATGGCCTAAGTGGGCTAGTAACTTCCTCACTGTGAAAGTATGCTGGCCTTATGCAGTTGGCTGGTGTACAGCGGCAGCCGTCAAGCTCAACTCACCAACTCATCCTAATAGCAGGTAGGAAATATGTATTCATGTCTGGCACTGGGGCTCAGGGTTAGCAACCCATGCAGGCTGCAAAGTGACTTCATGACAAAATCCAAAATGTCCATTCCCGTCCGGCAATCGTCTCCATGTGATTTCGGACATGCCGAGTCGCGGAAGACAGAATTCGAGCCCATGGGTCAAGTGGTCAGGCGTTCAATGACCAACTGACCATGATTCGAATCTCATGTTTCGTCGGCGAGCAAGCCAGAAATAAACACATCAGTCATTTTTCAAAAATAGTTCTTCATAATGAAATTGCTCCAACCACACTCTCAAGACCGTGATCGCATGAAGATTTGACTGGTAGGTTGGTTCAAAAAGTGAACCTTAGGGTAGCCTTATCAGCATGTCCACTTCCAACTTCATCCATTACTGAGCATCAAATGGACCTCAACTGAGTCCACATGAAACAGTTAAGTTTCTGCTAAAATTCACGAATTTAAAGTGTCAACCACCAACACCAGTTTGTAAACTACAATTACTGGCAAGGGAGACGTGTGAATGTATGTCAGCAAGTAGGAAATCATGAGACGGCACTTATGACGCTTACATACACAAATCGGTTAGGCACAGGTGGAGAACTTCCCGTACCTGGGCAGCACCCTGTCCCTTAACGCCAAAATCGATGACGAAGTCGCTCGCAGGATCTCGAAAGTCAGTCAAGCCCTCGGCCGCCTCCAAAGCACAGTCTGGAATCGTCACGGTCTCCAACTGAGCACGAAGCTGAAGATGTACAAGGCCGTCATCCTGCCGACGCTGCTGTACGGAGCGGAGACTTGGACAGTATACACAAAGCAGGCACGTCGACTGAACCACTTTCACCTTAGCGGTCTCCGTCGCATCCTGAAGCTGAACTGGCAGGATCGAATCCCCGACACTGATGTGCTGGAACGGACGTGAATCCTCAGCATCTACACCATGCTGAGACAAATGCAGCTGCGTTGGAGCGGCCACCTGGTGCGCATGGGCGACGATCGACTACCCAAACGACTCTTCTACGGAGACGTCGTCACGGGCTCTCGCCGCCAAGGAGGCCAAATTCGTCGATACAAAAATAGCCTGAAGCATCTGCAAATTAACCCGACCAACTGGGAAGAGCTCGCCCTCGACCAACCGACCTGGAGGAGGAAAGTGAAGACAGGCGCTGCGATCTATGAGGCCAATCGAATCGCCGCTGCCAAAGTGAAACGCGACGCACGCAAATAACAGCCACGTCCCGTCCGCAACGCCGACGCACAACCGCTTCCAACGTGTCCTCGGTGCCAACGGACATTCCGGGCACGAATTGGACTCATTGGACACCTTCGGACCAACTGCACCTCCCATACCGCACCAACCGCCGTCCCTCCGCCCGCCTCTTCCTCGTCCTCTCCGCCGCCAACTAATTCTGACAATTTTTCTGAACCACCACTTCCGTCCTCCCCCTCCTCCTCCTCCTCCTCCTCCTCTTCTTCCTCCTCCTCTTCTTCCTCCCCCTCATCCTCTCCCCCCGTCTCTTCCTTCTCCTGCCCCACTGCATCAACCACGGCCGCTCTGGTGGCCGTCACTCACACCAGCATCACACACATCCATGACACAACAACAGACACCATCCCTACAACCTCCAAATCCAGGGGTAAGGACCAGGACTACACCTGCCCTCACTGCAACCGCACCATCACCTTACAATTCGACCTAGTCAGTCACTTGCGAATCCATCGCACAGAGACTGGCGAACCAGTGCCTGGAGCGCCAACCTATATCCACCAAGCTCACCTCCACTGCCCACACTGCCCTCCCACTTTCACGCATCGCATGGGCCTACTCGGCCACATGCGCATCCACGACGACCTACGGTAGACAACCGCCGGCTACACTACACCACAATACCCTCCCTCCCTCCCTGCCTCCACCACCACCATCACCCCACCAGAAATCAACACTCACACACCTCATGCACCCAACTGCCACGTCCCACGCAAGTGGGAAGTCCGCATCTCGACTCGGTCCCCATGCGGCTTCGGCTGCACGGGTGACTTGAGTCCGAGACTATCCCGACACGTCAAGCGTCGTGGATAGGAAGGTTGCTGATTGACGCCCGCTCTCGGTTCACGCAGTTCGTCGCGTTGTGTGTGTGTGTGTGTGTTGTGTGGAGTGGCGGACTGGTGGGCTGGGCGACGGGCTGAAACAGCACCTTCCACGGCCCTCTCACGCAAGTGAGAGACACGCCGTTCAACCCCCGTTGTGTGAAATCCTGGTGTTTGTGTGTATGGGGGGCTAGGTCGTGCTCGTGGCGCGCGCAGTCATGGTCAGTCGATCATGCCAGCCACGGCGCCCATTTCCCACTCCAGTCTGCTGACCGGCTCGGACAGCGGCTGCGATGTGGGACTGGGAAGGGAGAGTGAGGTCGAAGACTCAGCGCATTTCCTCCTCACTATAAACAATCTGACGCGCTTGAAGCTATCACGGTGCGCTAAAAGCCGTGGCTTCGAAGGTTGCCAACTGACGGGATAACTTGGACCTCCTCCTTGACTGGAGGCGGTCTGAGAGTCAGGCTGCAATGGCTCCTTCTTAATGTGGCCTTTATGGCACTCCCACCACAGTGTGGGATCCGAGCCAGGCGTCGGCGGCACGCCTAGGTGCGGCTTCGGTCGTGCCAGCCTCCAATCTCGGTTGTGTTGGTTGAAATCCTGGTTATTTGTTGTGTGGACCAGAGGGTGTGGTGGAACGCCAAGGTGAGGATCCGTCCGAGCCATCCACCTGCGGCCTCCCTCGTCTCCGGTCTTCTTGACTCTGTCTTGACACCGGACTCGGGCGAGGGAGGAGGAGAAAGTGTAGGTAGATGCAGCGCAAGTCTACCGGCATTATAAACCCCTGCGCAAGTCACCGTCCCTGCTCCCACCGCTGCTGCAGCTGTGGGGCACACGGTGGACATAATCGAAATCGATGGTCGAACTGTCACAGGCACAGGAATATAGACCCCCACACTACAGGCGGTCTTGCCCTAAATGTCAGGAGGGCTAGGGTTAATGTTAGGGTTACGGGTATGAAGGTCAAAGGTAGGACACGGGAATAGGTACCCCCATGTAAGTTAACACAGGACCACCTTGTTGGGAGCGCCTACACTCCCAAAAACAAGAGCCAGCCAATCACGGGAGGTCACGTGCGTTTTCTCCACTGCGCTGTCATCTTACTCGTGGCGCCTCTCCATTGGCTTTTCCTCTCGGGCCTGATCGATCAGCATATTCGAATTATCGACCGGCTCGTCTCGAATGTTCTTCCCGAAGGGCATTGGGCCGAACGCCGGCGAAGCACCGTAAGGCGTTATAAATACGCGTTACTTCCAGTTCATTTTGACTTGCATTTTCCTAATACACAGTTTCGTGGCCGGTCGCGTTCTCCTTCTCTGCCGCGTTGGTATTGGGGACAAGGGTCGAGTGCGCATACGCTCCACAGGATTTCACGTACCAGGCGGGTCATAACAATTTGGCGACGCAGTTTTTCAACTACAATGGCTGACGAGTATGCAGACTTGAAGCAGATGTTGCAGCAGCAGCTGAAGCTGATGGAGGCTCTGACCGTCAAGCTATCCAATTCATCCATGGGCCAATCAAGAGCGGCTGGTGGTTCACAATCTGTTGATCACATTGCCGGCAGCATCACAGAATTCCTGTATGACCCGCAGGCCCATATCACCTTTGATTCCTGGTACAAGCGATACGAGGACTTGTTCTCTGTCGATCTGGCTGCCCAGGACGATGCATGGAAGGTTCGACTCCTACTTCGCAAACTGGGTCCGGCTGAACACGAGCGTTATGCAAACTTCATCCTCCCCAAGAATCCCCGAGAGGTCGCTTTCAAGAACACGGTTGAGACGTTGTCGCAGATTTTTGGTGATCAATCATCCCTTTTCAACACTCGATTTCGGTGCCTGCAGCTGTGCAAACGCGATTCCGATGATTTCATCACGTATGCGGGCATTGTCAATCGTGAGTGTGGGCGTTTTCAACTCGGTTCTCTTACTGAAGACCAGTTTAAATGCCTTATATTTATCTGCGGCCTCCAGTCCCCCAAAGATGCTGATATCCGGACACGTCTCCTGTCCAAATTGCAGCAGAGCAACTCTATCACACTCCAAGAGCTGGCAGCAGAGTGCCAAACGCTGATCAATCTCAGGCACGACTCTGCAATGATTCAGAACCCTGCCTCATCTTTCTCAGTCCATTCGGTCACATCGACCAAATCGCGGCCCAAGCAAGTGTCCAAGGCGAGATCTCCGCCATCCCCTTGTCGGCACTGTGGCGCGTGGCATTTCCACCGGGATTGCACTTTCCGCCAGCATCGCTGCCAAAGCTGTAATCAGGTGGGACACCGTGATGGGTTTTGCAAATCAGTACCAACTTCTAGAGGCAAGCCGACCCCCGCCATTGCTAATTCCAGGCATCGTTTCCGGCCAAAACGCAAGTCCAAACTCCAGTCCGTTGGTAACTCTCTGAGTCTCTTGGCCGCTTTCCAGCTCAATGCGTCTTGTCGTAGAAAATTTGTTGACGTTTTGCTGAATGGCCATGCAGTTCGCCTACAGTTGGACACTGCCTCAGATATCACCATCATCTCTGAGAGACTCTGGCAGTCCCTTGGCAGCCCCACGATCCAGCAGACTTCCCAGTCCGCCACAAGCGCGTGCGGTGGTCTCGTACAGCTAATTGGACAACTGCAATGCTGTGTGTCGTTCCGCGGTACCAGCATCACCGCGATCTGCTACATCACCAAGTCTGACCTCAACCTACTTGGTCTCGACTGGATTGAACAACTTGGGTTGGCCGATATGCCGCTCCGCGTTGTTTGCAGTCAGGTGCAGATTCCCGCTGTGCTTGCAGACCAAGCCAAGGACATTCTCCAACGCTTTGCTCCAGTGTTCCAAGACGGCCTGGGTCGTTGCACATACACTCAAGCCGTGCTACATCTGTCTCCTGGAAGTCAACCAGTCTTCCGTCCAAAGCGACCAGTCCCATATGCAGCCCTATCACTTGTCGAGGCTGAACTGAAACGTCTAGAGGAATTGGTAGTTCTGGTTCCTGTATCCTACTCCGCCTGGGCCGCTCCAATCGTTGTGGTTAAGAAGCCCAATGGCTCGGTCCGCATTTGTGCTGACTTCTCCACCGGTCTCAATGCCGCGCTGACGCCGAACTGCTATCCATTACCGTTTCCGGCTGATCTTTTCACCCTGCTGAATGGTGGCACTTGCTTTGCCAAGTTGGATCTTGCTGATGCGTATCTGCAGATCGAGGTCGCCCCAGAGTCGCGCGAATTGTTGACCATCAATACCCACCGCGGTCTGTTCCAATACACCAGGCTGCCCTTTGGTGTCAAGACCACCCCGGCCCTATTTCAACAAACGATGAACGCAATGCTCTCCGGCATCCCTGGCACAGCTGGGTACCTGGACGACATCATCATCGTGGGTCGCTCCCCTGCCGAGCTGCAAGACCGAGTGTGCGCAGTACTCGAACGCGTGCAGGAGTATGGCTTTCGCCTACGGGCCGAGAACTGCCAGTTCTTCCTCGACTCCATCAAGTACCTTGGATTCGTTTTTGACGCCAATGGTCGCCATCCAGATCCTGAAAACATTCGGGCCATCCAACGGATGCCTGCCCCCAAGAATGTATCGCAACTTCGTTCGTTCCTTGGCCTGATCAGCTACTATAGCGCCTTCCTACCATCGCTGCATGACGTACGGGCCCCGCTCAACCGTCTGTTGCAGAAGGATGCTCCTTGGTGCTGGTCCCCCGACTAAGAAAAGGCCTTCGCCCAGCTAAAGTCGATGCTGAGTTCAGATCTGTTGCTCACGCACTACGACCCGACGCTGCCGATCGTTGTTGCTGCAGATGCTTCCAACCACGGAGTTGGTGCCGTCATCTCACATACTTTTCCTGATGGGTCTGAAAAGGCGATCATGCATGCATCTCCCACGCTAACCCCTGCGGAGAAGAACTATGGGCAAATAGAGAAAGAAGCTCTAGCCCTCGTGTTTGGCGTCAAGAAATTTCACAAACTGTTGTACGGTCGCCACTTCACGTTGTTGACGGATCACAAACCATTGCTGTCAATCTTCGGTTCGAAGAAGGGCATTCCCGTCTACTCAGCCAGCCGACTTCAGCGATGGGCAACCATCCTTCTTGGCTACGACTTCGATATTCGCTACTGTCGTACTACAGACTTTGGTCAGGCTGACGCCCTTTCTCGCCTCATCAGCAATCAGCAGGAACCGGAGGAAGATACCGTGATTGCAGCTATTTCGATTGAGGACAGTGTGCGCCGTCAGCTATCAGACGCCATACGAGGTATCCCTGTCACTGCCGCGGACATCCGACGTGCTACTGAACAGGATCCTGTCCTCCGCCAGGCCATCACCTACGTGCAGACCTGCTGGCCAACCACTGCTCTCGCTGGCGATCTTCGCCAGCTCTTCCTCCGCCGAGCATCGCTACTGTGGTTGACTCCTGCCTCATGTTTACAGACCGTGTGGTGATCCCATCTTCCCTCCGACCCACTGTACTACGCCAGTTCCATGCGGCTCATCCTGGTGCCAGCCGAATGAAGTCTATTGCTCGCAGTTTTCCCTACTGGCCGGGTATCGACGGCGACATCGACGACCTGGTTCGACGCTGTTCTCGATGTCAGCAAGCTGCCAAGATGCCGCCTCGTCAACCTCCAATACTCTGGCAACCACGGGAGAGGCCTTGGTCACGCGTGCATATCGACTTCGCTGGCCCACTTAACGGAGTCTCCTACCTAATCTTGGTTGACGCCTACTCGAAATGGCCCGAGATTGCTCCGCTGAATGCAGCAACCGCAACTTCCACTATCGCCTTCCTACGACGCATCTTTAGCCACCATGGCTTACCAGAAGTCCTGGTTTCAGATAATGGCTCTCAGTTTATCTCGTCGACGTTTGAAGATTTCTGCCGCCAGCACAACATCCAGCATCTTCGCTCCCCGCCCTACCATCCTCAGTCTAACGGTCAGGCGGAGCGTTTTGTCGACACTTTTAAGAGAGCCCTTTTGAAAGCTCGTGGGGAGAGGACCACGGACGAGATAGTCCAGGCGTTCCTGTTTTCCTACAGGACGACACCGAACCCGGCGTCCCCTGGTGGTGTTTCTCCTGCCGAAGCGTTGATGGGCCGACAACTGCGGACAACATTTCATGCACTCGGCCCTACCGGTGCGCAGCCCGCGCAGACTTCTCCAGTTTCTCGCAGCAAGCTCTCCATCGGAATAATTGTCTTCGTTCGTGATTATCGAGTGGGGTTCCCAGACTGGATTGAAGCAACCGTAGTAGCGCACAGAGGCAGTATGTTGTTTGACGTCGACGTTGGTGATGACATCTGGGTTCGCCACCACAACCAGATCCGACGGCGACATTGCAGTAACACAACTGGGCTCGATTCGGCGCCGTCACTCTCTCTCGACATCCTACTGGATACCTTCGCCATTCCGGCAGATCAGTCGGTTCCCGAACCCACTTCTGCGCCCCCTTCCGATATACCATCTTCGGTATCAGTTACCGCTCCCGTATCTCCAGGCATTAAACCACGACTAAGACGCCGGACCAACCGCGTGCGCCGATCAACACGTCTGATGCAGGTAAACCCACGCCAGAAGCGGTACTGACCTACTTGGAGGGGAGGTGTTGGGAGCGCCTACACTCCCAAAAACAAGAGCCAGCCAATCACGGGAGGTCACGTGCGTTTTCTCCACTGCGCTGTCATCTTACTCGTGGCGCCTCTCCATTGGCTTTTCCTCTCGGGCCTGATCGATCAGCATATTCGAATTATCGACCGGCTCGTCTCGAATGTTCTTCCCGAAGGGCATTGGGCCGAACGCCGGCGAAGCACCGTAAGGCGTTATAAATACGCGTTACTTCCAGTTCATTTTGACTTGCATTTTCCTAATACACAGTTTCGTGGCCGGTCGCGTTCTCCTTCTCTGCCGCGTTGGTATTGGGGACAAGGGTCGAGTGCGCATACGCTCCACAGGATTTCACGTACCAGGCGGGTCATAACACACCTATAGTACGGGAAAAGAGCATCCCCGTGTCCGGCCCACAAATCGTACAGCTGTCCCTATTCATTGAAGAGGCATCCAGTAGAACTATTCCCACCACATTCAAATAATTTCGGCATTGCACTTAAGCTAGAGGTAGTATGGGAGTCTGCTAGCGACAGGGAAACCTGCAAGAGGCCGACAGGCCCTAAGGGGATCGAACAGTACGCAGTCCTACCACAGCAATTAGGAATGGTTTCGTAATTTGTCCTAAAATTAAGTAGTTCGATTGTACAGATCTATGAATGAAAAAGAGTAGAAAATTACGGCACTTTCTGCCCGTCCAGGTGAAAGTAAGAATAAAAGGACGAATAGACGAATCGATTTTTTTGAAATTTTATGGATCACCCAGGCGTTTCAGCAAGTTGCAGTTCGTGCACGAAAAATAAAGTAGAAATGACAATGAATTGCGCAAAGAAAATGATCGCGTCGGAATTCGTGCTTGAAGATATCCGTCAGGTCAGGGTAGAAAATTAGGCGTTTGCTTTACTGAACAGTTTCTATTGCCATTGGTGGAGTTTTATGTCAAAATGGCAAGGTAAAAATAAATCGGATGCTTGGCCCTCAGTAGAACCCACTGAGACTTATGGAATTGGCGCGAAACCAGTCTGGGCACAAATCGCCGGCATACAAAGTCCAGATCAAGACAATCCCTTGGCCCGGATGTAAGACGCGGCCTTCACGCCCAGAAGATATCTACCGCTTGAATTTGTCCAATCGATGGTGCATGCACTCGCTTCTCCAAATTCATGTCTCCGACCGCTTCGATCAGGAAACAAACCCCTCAGCTTGGCCTCCTTACTTACTGTCCAAGATGGTTCGGCCATGTGCCGAAGCCACCTGGAGACAAAATCGCACGGAATGAAGGCTAACTCCGGACGCACACCTGACCTTGCGCTTTTCAGTCTGCGGGGATGATATGCTGATTAACTCAAATTAGAAGCCGACTGCAATTTGGGGCACCCATTTCTAACGTGGTGAACTAATACACCCAGTCATTATGAATGCCATTACAAATACCAGTATAGACTTTGAAATGACAAAAAATGGCGGTACATTTCGTCGAGGGAAACTTTTTGAACGTCGAAGATGTGGTTAGATCTCAAAGACACATGGGCAGGTGTTTCATAAAGCTAAAATCGGAGGACTTCTAGCATCATCAGGGGCAACCAGTCAAATCTGGCTGGCATCTTTGGTGATGTGCTTTCCGCAGCAAGGATTGAGCGCAAACACTCAATACTCCCGCTCAGCGTGCTATGAGATATATTACGACGAAAGCCAAGAGAAGTTAAATGAAAGGTTTTCAACAACAAATAAGTTTGATATAAAAAAGATATGACGAAGGAGATATTTGCAGCAACGTACTATAAGGAAAGTTGCCGCCATAAGAAGAGCCTTAGCTGTCACTTGTAAATCCACTGGGAAGGTAACGGCATACGTATCGGCATCAGTCAGATACTCTTGTAAAAAACCCGTCCATTTCTTCGAAATTATACCGATTGTGTGATTTCCGTCAGCAGTGAGAACCTATAAGGCATAAGATAATGGCTTTGACAAAATGCGGAGGTGTCCGCAAATTCCGCCTGCCTTTCATTAAAATGCCTACGACGGGTGAAGATTCATAACCACAATAACGAATATCCGACGTTGGAGGAAAATAGGCTGAAAACAAATAAAACATCGCGTACTCTGAGTATATCAGTTTACTTTCTCCGGAAACACAACCTATGGGTCGTCTACGTAGCCTAACACAAGTTCTATCTCAGGTTTAATGGGAAACGATTCTTCATTGGGACCGCAAGGCTCATGTAAGGAAACAAGGGTAAAAATATTTTGCAGTTTACTTATTAACCCTTTTAGGATATATGGGGTGTTTAGGTGGAAAGTCCGTCTTTCGTGAGTGGAGGATTAGTTTACGGGTCCTGGGGAAGGTTGTGGTTAATTTGCTCAACCCGTAACTTTGACTCAGCTTTCAACATGAAAGCTCGTTCTGTGAAGCAGACACGACGGCAGCTACATCGACCAGCGGGCTAAGCCAGATGAGGTGACCAGTTTGGCTTTCCTTAAACAGTAAAGCGTGTGCATGAGGCCTGATCCATTGAGTGAAGGCGAACCAGTTGCGCCGCGGTACGCGCAATGGGATTCAGGACTAGTCAGTCGTGATTCCCCGACTCCCACTTCCCATCCGATCCTAACTCTTAAAGTCTTATGGAGAGAAAGGCAAAAATCGTGTAGGCAGTCTGGGCTATTTCGGATCTTTTTCTAATTGAATCAGTATCATGACACATGGTGGAATGCAAAAGCCGTCCAGGGTATCTGAGAGGCTCTACACAGGCACGCACTGCCAAACCCCTCAGGGGGAACGGGCTAGAAATGTGTCTTACCGCTCCCATGAGAGTAGACTTATACACTGGTAATCACGAATGTCCGTCCTCATTAAATGACTGACGATCAACTGATCAGAGAGGAGCACCGCTCTGGCCGTCCGCAAAACTGGCTTAGCTCGATGTGGACATCGCTGCGCTCATCGAAACCAACTTCTCAGAGCAAGGACGATTGCGTAAGGCCGGTGCAGGTTACACCATCTTCTGAGACGGTCGTCCAAAAGGCTAGCTTCGTGATAATGGGGTGGCCTTGGCCAACAAAAATAACACCGACAGGAAGCTGTCTTATTTCCCCCTAGAATCAATGACCGCCTCATCTCGGTGGAGCTGGCACTTCGTCGAGAGAAGTTTGCCATTATGATCGGCAATGGCTATTGGCAGGTCTACGAGGGCCTAGGAATACCATCCCAGCCGCCTTGCGTCTGTGTCGAAGACGGAAATATAGACTGCCCTCGACGCTCGAGTGGGTACAGATCATACCGCCTGGGAAAGATTTTTTGGTCGGCACAAGGTAACGGTAACGGACTCTTGTTGAGGACTGGCCAATGACAGTTCGACTGTCCTTTCTGATGATATCAATAGGGGTCCATATGGCAGGGTGGGCGAAAGAACGGTGGCTTGCGTTTGAATTGGTTTTTAGTGATAGCAGTCACTGCACGCATCAAACAAATGACCAGATCGGACAGTTAACTGCCTCCTGAAAGCAGGCAGTGAGGACGAAGGTCTTGACGCATATTCTTTACCACAAACAATCTGACGCGCTTGAATCTATCAAGGTGCTCGAAATGTCGTGGCTTGGAAGGCTGCCGACTAATGGGATGACTCGGACTTCGAGGCCAGCCCAGCCTGTTTTAATGGAGTGGCCGATTGGTGCTGAAAACTAGTCCTCAATGGCTCCTTAGTGTGTCCTCTATGGCACTTCCCCTCAGTGGGATCTGGGTCGGTGCGACGACATGTTTAGATTCAGGTTTTCGTCTTACCAGCCACCTGCGCCCCCTCCCGAATCAGGTCTTCTTGACTTTGTCATAATGCCGGGTCCAAG